AATTTTTTATAAACTTCTTGCACATTGAGAAAAACTCTTGCACATGTGCATCTTGTGCATGCCAATTTTAAACACTGAATTCAGTAGCTGAAAAATTTTTCACTATTGAATTGAAGATTACTAAAAATTAAGTTACTGATACCAGCCAATATCAGAAACTTATCAATCATTCATCGGTAATTTATGTCAAAAGAAAATGTAGAATCGTGTTGGAAATGAGAGCGAAATGAGGCTGATATCCGTATAAAAAAATTGTTAAAAATCTATATCTAATTAGTTGAAACTGGATGTCGAAGCCACCCTCATGTGCATTTTCTAGTTGTAACTTATATCTTGTTGAAAGTTATCAATTTTATCCAATCAGAGATCCAACTGTGACTAATAGAACGGGTGAAAATTGGTAAATGCAAAATCTAAACCTACGTATACTGTATGCAGTTATCAATGTATATCTTATAACTTGAAGACGATGTGCAATTGCTAGTTTAGTAATAAAAGTAATAAAATTCAGCTCTGATTTATCAATATAATAATATGCAAAAAACATTATTTATTCAAATTTGTTATTATAGAGTTTAAAAGTATATTTCGCAGGTAATACTTGATAGATTTGATTAATAATGAATAATAATCAGTTTTACCTTAAACATGACATATGCATAAATTTAGCTAAACATATTGTTATAATCATCACGAAGTTGTTTTTATGTAGAATTACATGGAATTTTTATGTAGAATTATGTAAAATTTTTATGTAGCTTTACAAAAACTTTATAAACCCAATGTAGATTTACATAACTATTTATATCAATATATATATATTTCTATGTATAATAATGTAAAATAGCAAAAAAAAATTTAACTTCAGTATTAAAGCTAGGATTAGATTTTAAAGCTTAAATTAGGGGTTTGGGGAAGGTTTTCGAGCATGCGGAACATTTTTACTTAGTGCATCGATCGGCGATTACCTTAGTCACTTTTGAGAAATAGCTGATGTAAATTAAATTATTTTTATATAGATATAAATAAAATTTACATGGATTTTATATTTATATAAATAATAAATAAAAAAATTACGTAATTTACATATAAAAATTTTTATTATATAAGTCTACATTGGGTTTGTAGACCAATATAAAAATTTTATACAATATTTATATAACTTTATAGAGTTACATAAAGTTTATAAAAAAACAACTTGCTGATGATGTTCGTTCTATATCATTGTTATGTAAGAGCATGTGATTCTTTTAAAATCCTAGAATTGTGAACAAAATCTTTAATTAACTCATATTATAAAGTACAAAAATCATGACTTAACGAAAAGTAGCCTAAATTACTGTCAAGGATGATATTCATTAATGGATTCTTCTTTCTGAGTGAAATGTTGATAACCATATCTCCTAACAATTAGAATTGCAGCCACTGATAATATTATTAGCCCCGCAATGCCACCAAAAATGCCTCCAATAATTGCACCAACATTTATAGATGAATTGTTGGAACTGTCAGAAATTGTGGGTTTCGCAGTTGAAATAGATTGTAATGATTTGGTAGGATCATATAATGTAGCCCATTTATAATTATCTTTTTGACTTATGTCAAGAAGCAAAACGTTATTCGTGGCATTTACTCCCGATGTGCCTAAATTCAAAGATCCTTTGTTTGTAAATTTTAGAATTAAAATGTAATATCATATTATATATTTACCGGATGATCCAAATGCAATTAAAATATAAGCTCCAACTAGTATTGAAGTAAACCGTCTTAAAGTAACACTAGAACCACCATTACTTGAAATTATAGGATTTGACCACTCAAATTTTAAGGTATCAAGTGCCACGATTGGAGCAATTGAAGGATTTGGATATCCGTAGAGAATTAAAAGTTGATTATATTGAGCTAAATTCATGATTAAAAAATAAATATCATTAAAAGAATTTAATGCTTGAAATATGACATATATATGTATTTACGTATAAAGACCGCCCCGTGATCATATCTTGACGAGGGAGTATTTCCTGATGTTGACTGGATCAATTATAATGAATAATAATATCCAAGATATTATTTCAAATTAGCATTGCTCTTTTTCATGTTTCATTACAGCGCATTTGTGTAATTTCTGTTTGACTAGACTATAAAGTGCGTCATTACTATTCATATTTTTTTGACATTTCTTATTGTAAACTCATATTGATAACGTCTAATTAATCTTTTACGGGAAGATGGGTTAGACGTTATCCATATGAGCGAAATGTCAAAACAAAAATAAAGTAAATAATGTATTTCATAGTCTAGTTAAATACTGAAATTACACAAATTCGCCATAATGTATTGAACAAGTCCGATTCTGGTCAACTTACAACTGTAATCCAAGTATC